CGAGGGACGAAAGTGGTATGCTCTTTGTGAACGCGTATAACAGTTCAAAAGGCACGGAGTCATTTTGAGAACAACTTGAACGCGGAGAGTGTCTTTCATATTTTGCTTAGCAAATGAAGCAATACGAGCATCAGGTACGGTCGTCCATTTGTGGGCGGGCGGGCGCAGTGGGCGTTCGGGTCGGTATGTTGCAGCTTGATAGGGCCTTATAAGGAGTCTTCCTTGGAAAAGGCGCCACGCAACGCGGATTTCCGTCCTGTCAGGCGTATTAATATTACTCGTTTTAGGGATTTATCGTGCCAACTGCCTTTGAGGGCATATTCGTCTTTTAGTTGGACCACGTTTCTTTTTTCTCATTACTCAGCACGAAAGAACGAGGTTAATGTCAAGTCAACAATTCTTTTGTGACACCCTCTTCCTGCCTTTTTTTGTCAATTTCACGCGTTTTTTTTCCAAACTTTTTTCAAACATTTTTCCGAACTTTGCCCGTTTTTTTTGTTCCGAGTAATGAGCGAGACTTTGCCCAACTAGTTGGGGCTCCGACTTGCTATTCTGAGGCATTTCACAAAAGTGGGAGGGGCCCCTACAGAGTGGGCGGTGTTTCTCGTGGTGGGCGCGGCTCCAAATAGCTGCCCAAAAATGCAAGAATTTTGAAGGAGATCAAAAGTTTGCAAAAAAAGCGCGTGGTCAAAGGATGAGGCTCAGATGCCATCTTATAAACTCGTGTCTATGAGTGCATTAGTTTTGCAAAGAATATATGTGAAAAGAACCACGGTGAGAAGAAGTGAAAAAAAATCCAAAAAAGTTGCGCGGAATCGTATCTGTTTCTGTATGTCAGTACTCAGTTAGTGTACATGAGCAAAGTAGCCATGTGCAAAAAAAGTCACAGAAGCAGAAGTTATATATAAAATGAAGATTGAAAAATCATGACCCTGCTGAAATAGGGGCGTGGCTGTAGGGGCAGGGCCTTCAGTTGTCTAGTGTGACATGTTCGACCAAGTCTTGAGCTCTATTCCAAAAATCATGGATTTAATTCGAAAAGTCGTGAATCTGAAGTGAGAATGGTGTAAGGCTCGCCGAGTTGTCTTCAAGCCGGAAAAAAACCGAGAAAAACCGGTGGTAACTAGAGCATGGATGAGTAGGTCGCCAGACGTCTGGCTTGATTATGTTAGGAAAATTGAGGTAGAGGTGAAACTGTCCCTCTTATTGACTTCCACGCTTCCCGCTTGTCGATTTCGAACAGCTAAAAATTGTTGGAAGGCGATAAATTTTATTGCCTCGCATTCAATCACGCGGCTCACAAGTTTGCCTTTAACACATACCCCTTACTGAATGAAACGTTGCCACAACAGGAAGGGTTATTGGTCATAGTTGCAGGAGTACGTTGGTGATGCTTTTCTTACGGTGCAACTGGCGATGTAGAGCTTGGAAAAATAGAAGTCGTTTGTTCAAGGATATGTTGGAAATGTTTTCAAAATGTCATCGAAACAAATGAGCCTGGTAAATTAGCGAGTTTTGCAAAAAATCAAACCTTCTTAGAGTTTATTGTTGCCCCCAGTAACTCAAAG